TCAGAGTGAAATGTCTCATCAGAAATTTTCAATATTATATTTCGCAGATGCCTCCGTAAAGAGCCATGGATCACGGTAGCCTCCGCTTCCTACTCTGATCTGTAGGGAGTAAGTGGTATCACAACGCCTCTTCTTACATGGTAGTCTCTTTTTCTTTACTCGATCCTCTTGGTACCCTAGTTTCTGCCCTTCAAGGTTTGTTTGAAATGCTTACAGTGGTCTACCTCATGATGTAGACCGGTGTTTGTGCTCTTCTTCTATCCCTTATCGTCACGATTCTGCCAGCATAGTGTACCAAACTCAGAGGGCCATTGCTATTTTGGGCGAGGAAACCTCAGACCAAGCTTATTCTGACCACAAGATATTGCTATAGACGTATATAGAAAATAGGCCATTTGATTAAGGACCAGACTATGGGTAGTCTAAGAAGCTATGGACGTATAAAAACTCATTATGTAGGGCACGCGTGTGCCATCGATTGAATCTTCAGGTTTGACATCTATGAATGATAATAGTAAAGTGTAAACAAGAATAGAAGGTGCCTCTAACCGCCCAAATGCTGCGGCTGTTTCGTGAGCCGTCAAAGTCATCGCTCATGTGTCAAGTCCAATAAAAATATAAGCCAACGCCGGGTCCGATGAAGTCATCAATAATAATACAAATGCGGATACGTCCAAGCTAATGCAATAACACACCCAAGGAGAGCACACAAGACATACCTGCCATTGAAGGAACTGGCGACCTGCACTGCCCACCAATGGAGCAGCATGAGGACTGAAAGCTGTCGCTATGGCTTGTCGAGTGGGTATATTGGTAGAAATAATGGTAGTAAGGGTTTTGGTGGAAGATGTGGTTCTGCTCATCAATTGAGTCGAGTTCCCCGCAAAATCTCAACGCCAGAGCGGGAAAAGGCAGCCGAAGAAAAAGGCGACGCTGCTGACACAAAGCGGAAGGTAGACTATTAGGGAAAATAGTCGATATTAACGGACGAATCTAATCAAGAAGGGATTCGGGGGATTGCTCACTCATTGAGCCTCCACCTGGTGGCATGTTTTGGCCAGAGCCAGACTCCCAGTCATATCCTGTTGACGAGGCCAAAGGAGAGCCGGTCGCCACCCAGGGCCAGACATTGGGGGTGACCCAGCTTGAGGTTTCTTTGTGAGTTCCACTCCAGGGAACTGGGACGCTGTCGATGGTTGCAGTAATTGCAGGTGCGGACTCGGTTGACGTGGGCTCGGCGGCTTTGTTGCCATTGACCGTGCCTCCCTCTGCGACAATTGACTGCCATGAGCCGCTCTTGTCACCATATCTGTACGAAGTCCCGGTGGAGTAATCAGTCACGGTCATTGACTTCATATACATCTTGAAGGGGCCTTGGCTATAGTCTGTTTGACCACCAGCCCAGTCTAAACAAACACAAGCTGTTAGCAAGCACGATAAAGATAATTTTCAGGACAGTCCTACTCACCAATAGTCCCCTTGGCATTGTTCGGGTCACCGCCAGCCCACACACCGACCTTGACCATCATCGGGCTCTGTGGGTACTGGTTGGTTTCTGCAGTTTCGGGAGTGAGAACACGGACAGTCTTGCCATCAATGGACCACACAATCTGGCTGCTGGTCCAGTCGATTGAGAAAGTGTGGAAGTCGTCATGGTTTCCGGAATTGTCGTGGTAGGCGCCACGGCTGAATGAGCTTGTGTCTCCTTTGCCAAAGTAATTGGTCTGCACTTGGGCGTTGTTTCCACCCAGCCACTCCCAGTCAATTTCGTCCAAATCATCAGACTGCAGAACTGCACTGCTCACGATTCCAGTCCCTGGTGCTGCCTTGATGGTGCATTCCACACGGCCGAACATGATGTACCAGCCAGACTGAATCAGTGGGCCATCGCCCTGCTTAGCAATAGTAAAGGTTGCACCGTTTGTTTGGTCATATGTGACAGATCCAGTCGACTTGAAAGCATCTGATGCGCCACTTGTGAAATCAAACGTCTTGTCAGATTGGCCAAATGCAGGATCAGCGGGACATGCTGCTGGATGTTAGTGATCTGTTGACATAACTGTGATGATGTGCCCTACTCTTCTGTGTTGGATTGCAATCGGTATAGGTCTGGGCCATGACTAGCGTGGAAGACAGCAGGCTCAGGGCCGCACCAAGAAAGAATCGCATGGTGGGCCAAGTAGAATAAGTAAGCTATAAGTAATTTCGCAACTATTATGCAATAATGAAGATGAGAGTTGATACGAAAGGGTAACAGATGAGGAGAGAAAAAACGGGAAGGGATTTCAAGTAAACGAGTGCACAAACGGTCTTAAACAACTTTGGAGAAGGTGCCAGCCTCCTCTTTCCGTGGCTTCTGTTTTTAGTCGATCTGTGGGTCCCCGGGTGTCATTAGGCCAATCACATCCCATCACAAGATCGAGGTTGTGCCCACAGGTGGATCAGCGGTGGATAACGGACCACGAAGAGAGCTACACCACGTTGTTCCATGGAGTCTCTACATGTAGCCATTCCATGTACGGAGTACGGAGTATTCCCCCGTACACTCGACGGGTGTGCAGTTCAAATGTCAATGTGCATCCTCAGTATGGGTGTGCATGTGTATGTACAATGGCTATTCTAGATAGTGCGTGACAGAACACATTCGATTAGGCATCTTAGATCGAGATCCTCGGAATACGTACGGAGTACTCCGTACATAGATATTCATTCGATGAAACCAGTCTACCCGAAAACCAAGAAAAAGCGGCAAGGCCCAAGCAAAATTAATAGGTGGCAGGGTACACACGTATATTAGGACCCACAACTCCCCAGCCTCTGGCATTTAGGTAGTCTTTACACCACTTATTATTAGAGATATGACCTCATAATGAAGATTTCCTCTGCATGGTATTATTTTATACTCCGTACTCCGTACGGAGTCCTTGTCTTCAATCCGAAACAAATAGATACTGGTACTAATCAATAGTCGGGATTCTAATGTTCGGGCTAGGGCTGCCTACCATTGGGCAGGCATCTCCCCATTAGCTCTAGCACCCTGATGAGTGACATGACTTTAACGACCAACCTTGGCTATCCTTTTAATATCTGTAATTTTCGCTAAATGGGCTCTGATTAGGCGCAGGAGTAGCACAAGAGGCTGGTCTAGACTTTGGGCGACATAAAGGACATAAAGCCGCCGGTCGACGTAGGCGATCGATGTAAGGGCGATCTGCCGAGTGACGAATTGAATCACGACAATGGGAGGGAAAAAATAGTCCGATAACTGTGGGCCCTATCATGTCTCTATGTATACTTGTTATTCCATTTAGATATCGCACCTAGGCCCCTGTACGACTATGCAATGATCCCATGCGGTCCACCTGGGTCTATTACTTTGGCAATTACCTTATTATGCCACTTATACCACACCACTGTCCTTTCGGCTATATCAACACCACTAGCTATATTTCAACATTCTCATTTGATCTTTTAACCATGTGTGACCTCCTTTTTGTTCCCACCGTTTTGCCCGAAAAATTGTGACCGTGAGCGGCGGTAAAAAAAAAGCCCTAGGGCATGAGACGGCTCGTCTGATCGTCACCGTCGGCAACGAGACTATGGGTAAGGCGCCCTCACTTATCTTTGAATCGACGCTGAAGTCAACGCGAAATACAACGAAACTCGTGCAAAATACCGAATGGGCCTAGCTAGATCTCAATTGTTATGTTCAGGCGTTCCACACGTAAAATTCAGGTTTGTGAGCTTGGCATCCTCGTTTGAAATTCCGAGGTAACCATTTCCACTTTGAATACAGCGACAATGGACATGAAAAAAACCATGCAGATTAAGTTCACGCTCCACTCGCCTAGATCTGTACTTTGTACTCCGTAGGGTCTCTGAACTAGCGGTCTCTAATGGGTTGCTAGACCCACTACTTGGTTGTGCTCAATCTGATTCATACCTTGGGAGGAAACTGCTAGGAAGTGAGGGTCTGCTAGTTAAATCATATCCCTGAACCCTAGAAGAGGGAGGTTGTGTGTTTGTGCTTGCTACTGCCATTGTTGGCAGAGCCAGCCATAACGCATTCGTCCAGAAGATTCGAGTCAATACTCAATTTAGATAATTCCGCGAAGAAAAAGATATGCTTTAGTCTTCCATCGCGCAGCAATACAAGTTACCCGAAGTGGGTTTGATGCAGCCTACCTGTATCTCAAGGACTTTCTTTGGGCAGATCTGTTATGTATAGTACTAGAGTCCTCTTTGCCAAAATATCAGTCTATTGCTTTTATTTTGTAATGATGTTCTATTCAATGTAGGTTATGGATGGAATAGAGATATCACAGGCCAGACAGATTGCAACGAGGGAGAATGAGCTGTGCAACAGTAGCAATACATTTCTCGGCAATCCGAGCTGTCACCTTCTAGCGAAGCCAAAAAAAGCAAAAAAAAATACGAGTACAACCCTGGGAGTGCTACAGGGATTCTTTGTCACAGCCTCAATACCTCGAGAGTTGAATGACCCCCGGGGCCGGGATGATGGACCAATGACTCGACTATACTCCGTAGAGGGCTATGCAATGCAAGAATGGCACACATATACGGAGTAGATGGCTACATTATACGCACGCTATACGAGGCAAAGCGAAAAATAGAACAGAAGACTGTAAAAGTGAAGCAGAACAATGACGGGGAGAGCTCCACAGTCTCCTTGTCGAGCACGGACAGCACGGACCATGCCCAATGAAAATGGTTATATCTATAGAAATATTCAAGTGAAGAGATGAAGAAGTAAGAAAATAAAGAAGTGAAGAAGAAGACAAAGAATTAGTTCCAGATACCTAATCTACAAGTAAATTTATAAGTTTCAGAGTTGAAGATATTCCCAGGTTATAGAAGTGCAGAAGAGCCTCACTCCGACGGTCTAGTACATCCGAAGCTCACACCATCTCTTTCTTATTATATGAATCTCATCTTGAGCTTCGGATCCTTTTAATTCTGGTTTTTTTTTTATAATAGGGATCTTGGCTTTGTTCTCGATCGTCATTACGTTGATCCGCCTTTGTCACGAGTCACGACTATCCCCACTCTTCGTCTTCCCCCCAATTAACCCTCAGGACTTCAATTATCACCCCGTTCGCCTTGCCAGTATGCGCCCGGGTTGCTTTTAACCGCAATCTCTTCCTAAAACCTCATGAAATAACGCCCCATTTTGATACTCACGCCCGACGCTAGACTTACGCCTTCGGTCTGCTCAGCTTTTCATACGCCTTGCTTATCCTCACGCCCCCGCTAGCCTTCCCAACTCCTTCGCGCTCTTGGTGTTAACTCACTCATTTGCCTCGTCTCACTTTCAAAACGAATGTCCTACATAGCTTTTCCCAGCTATTAGACTCTCTATCGCGTCGCCGGGTCGGCCTCCACATCGTGGCGCCAGCACCCGAGACAGCAGAATCGACAACCACACGTTCCAGCTCCCCCGGTCGCCCACACCATCCGATTATCATCGGTTCTATTAATGCTGGACGGTTCTGAACCATCACCACACCCCAAGATACAGCTGGCTGCAACTTGACTAGGGTTGCTGTGGTGGCATTCGGCCGAGTTAGAGCGCAGCCATGCCGGCGCGGGACCGCAACCAACCCGACAACCGTCAGGGTTCGGAGAGCTCTGGAAATAGCTGGATGTCGCAAGATACCGTGCGAAACTCTGCGAGTCTGTCTCGAGATCAAGACGAGGCCTCTACGGGAGGTCAAAATGCCGACCCGTTTCCAGGTTCCTTCAAAATGGACTCCAAGTAAGCTTCTGTTTCTCTAAGTGACCCGCTGACTTTCTACGCGATCATGGTGCATCGAATCCAAGCTCAAAAAGAAGAGGCGCTAATGAGGTTTTCTTTTTTTTTTTCCGCCAGGCCCGATTCCTCAAGACCCCCTCGGATTGATTGGGGAAATTCCATGTGGTCATGGAACTCCCCCGATATTTCCCCCACTGAACAACGCAAAGCCTCTGGCTTTAGCAATCACCGCGAGGCTTTAACGGTCCCGAGCAATCGAGATAGCCCGTCTCAATCATCCGTCTCGAGTCCTCGACCTCCACCCCTTCACCCATCTCGCGCCGACTCCGATGAGATCGAATCGATTGCCCCGTGGTCCACACTCCCCAGCAGTGGTCAGCCAGATGCCAGTGGTACCTTTTACCACGATTACTCCGAACATGAAGCTTCGCCTGCATCATTCACATTTCGACCCACCACCGGACGAACAATCGCAAGCGAGCCCGCTGAATATGAATACCATGGGGAACATCGCCGGCCATCTGCTGCAAGCGCAACCACAGTCAGTAGCCAGGGGTCTAGATCAAGTATTAGCCAAAAGTTCAGAAAGAAGCATTTGAAAGGTCTACTTGGAGATGACTATCATTCGCCTGGAGAGCTCCAAACCGATGACGATGGCTCCCAGAACCCGCCCAGCAGGCGTGGGGGACCAGTCGATCAGTTGAAGGCGCGCGAGAGAGCGAACTCAGATGGTTCGCGCAATACGTCCGAGGGCTCCAGCTCGCAACGTCCCCAGAGGTCACGGGCAAATAACCCTTTGCCCTCCAGTGACATCACTCCATGGGATTATCAGAGCTTTAATGACATCCCGCAGTATGGGGAGGCACCGGTGCGCCATGTACCCATCGGCCCCGATGGACAGCGTCTCCCATCCTCGGAGAATGGTTCCTCTGGGCAGAGGGAGCCAAGCCGACGAGGACCCGGCAGGCATCGTTCCTCGCGAAGCAAAGAAGAGAACCCGACTCTTGCTGGCGATCTGGCATGGTCCCAACCCCGACCTACTACTGGCAGAGACGACATTGGATTGCGGCCGTTTAATGAGAACTACTTGCATTCATCGACGGACATGAGCGACACCGCTGCAGGTGGGGGCCGGTCGACAAGTCCAACGCCCAGTGTGCGTAGCGCATACCGAGACCATGATCAGAACTCACAGCATCCCAGAATCGGCGGGTTCATCAAAAAGATCCTCGGGAAGTCGCATGACAAGTCGAGGAACTCTTCTCCGCCACGACGTGATAGGCAAGGAAGCGTCGAAGGAAGTACTTCCTCTCGATACGCAGAGTCGGTAGATTCGGACCGAAAGAAAGATTCCGGGAAGGGCCTGATGGTCGGAAGAAAGCTTGGTAATCGTCGGGTGTTCACTCATCAAGGTGGTGACCTTTATAATCCAAACAAGGACGACAAGAATCAAGAGGAGAACAAGCATTTCTTCCACCTTGATGTCGATATGGAAAACCTGAAAGGAATTGTCCGCCCACCTTCGCCTGGACAAATGAAGCGTGGAAGGGATGGGACGATCACACCCGGCGACGATTCCAAACTCGAGAAGCCGTGGAATGCGCCTGAAAGTTGGCAGGTCAGAGGGCCTGTTGACCCTACCTTAGAAGACCCCACCTTGGAAGAACCCGCCCCCGTCGGTCCTCGTGATCGTGAAGCTTCGTACTTTATTCGGATCTTCCGAATTGATTCTACTTTCGCCACGCTATCAGCTGGTGTGAATGCTACCGTGTCCGAGATCCTCTTGATGCTTGGTCGGAAGTCTTTTTTGCAAGATCATCTCAACAATTATGAGATTGTTCTGCGGAAACATGATCTTTCACGTCAGCTTGACCACAATGAGCGACCTATTCAAATGCAAAAGCGGCTGCTGGAACAAGTTGGATACACGGAAAAGGACCGTATCGGAGATATTGGCCGCGAGGATCACAGTTATCTCTGTCGCTTCATCTTCTTGCCGACCAAGCTCAGCGGTTACAGCAGTCTCGACACCGAACCAGGTTTCAACAAAGTGCAAAAGTTCAGCCATGTGGATCTCCAAGGCCGCAGTCTTGTCACTATTCCAATTACGCTGTATGCGAAATCCTCCGAGATCATCTCGCTGAATTTGTCTAGGAACTTGTCATTAGACGTTCCCAAAGACTTCATTCAAAGCTGCATTAATCTGCGAGAGATCAAGTTCATTGGGAATGAGGCCGCATTTCTCCCACAAAGCTTTGGCTTAGCGAGCCGATTGACCTACCTGGATGTGTCAAACAACTGCCTTGAGGACTTGGATCATGCGGGTCTCGACCGACTTACTGGTCTTGTTAGCATCAAGATGGCCAACAATCAATTAACCAAGCTTCCCAGCTCTTTCGGTAATTTCCAAAACCTGCGAAGCCTGAACATGTCGTCAAACAGTTTCAAGATCTTCCCCGATTTCCTCTGTAACCTACAGAGTCTGGTTGATCTTGATATCAGCTTCAATGGCATAGAAGAACTTCCCAATATTGGCCGCTTGGCCACTCTCGAACGCCTTTGGGTGACAAACAACAACCTGAGCGGTCCTCTCGATGATTCCTTCCGGGAACTGGTGAATCTCAAGGAGTTTGATGGACGCTTTAATGCTATCACCAATATCGATGCTCTCTCTAGTCTTCCACGTCTAGAGCAGATATTCTTCGGTCACAATCTTCTATCACGTTTCAAAGGCTCGTTCCCGAGGTTGCGCAGTTTACATCTGGACCACTGCCCCATGACGCAATTTGATGTTGACGCTCCTATGCCAACGCTGACTTCTCTAAACCTTGCATCGGGCAAGCTCTCCCAATTCAGGGACACCATTTTCGAGAATTGCCCGAATATAACGAAGCTCGTCCTTGACAAAAATCATATATCCTCGGTTTCGGCTCAGATTGGCAAGTTGCGTCGATTGGAACACTTCAGTATGATCAAAAACCCACTATCGTCCTTGCCTTCAACCCTGGGTTGCCTTGCGGAGCTCAAGAATCTTAACCTGAGGGAGTGCAACTTGAACTCTCTACCAGCCGAAATTTGGCATTGTGCCAAGCTAGAAATACTCAACATATCCTCAAACATTCTTTCGAGCTTTCCAAAGTGCGGTGCTCCGTACCCGCAAATTCCCGGTGAGCCTACAAACACGCCTGGGGCTACACCTGGCATTGCTGGAAACCCCAGCTATGAAGACGTAGGCCCACTGGATGAACCAAGTCTACGTCGACCCAGCCAAACGTCGAATGGTGTTATGAATTCTGTGTCATCTAACGGGTACCGGAATCCTTCAAATGCTCAATCTAGTAGGAAGGTATCGGCGACGTCGCCATCATATACCGACCCCAACTCGGGAAGTCGGAAGGACTCAAATTTCTCTCAGCAGATGGCAATGACGTTCGCGGCGTCCCTTCGCACACTTTCACTTGCCGACAACAGACTTGAAGATGATGTTTTCCGGGAACTCTCATTGCTCCCAGAGCTGCGTATTGTCAACCTTTCCTACAATGACCTGACGGAATTACCGCAAGGAATTCTCAAAAGGTGGCCGTTGATTTCCGAGCTGTACCTGTCCGGCAACGAGTTGACCTCTCTCCCATCCGATGACCTGGAAGAGGGAAGCAACCTCAAAGTTCTTCACATCAATGCCAACCGGTTCCAAGTCTTACCTGCGGAGCTTTGCAAAGTCAGCAAGCTTTCTATTCTGGATGTGGGGAGCAACGGGCTCAAGTACAACGTGTCAAATTGGCCTTACGATTGGAACTGGAACTGGAACCGTAATCTCAAGTATCTGAATTTCTCGGGCAACAAGCGTCTGGAAATCAAGCCAAATATCGCGTCACTGGGTCCTCCGGCCGCCAATGGCGCTGACCTCACTGACTTCAATTCCCTGACCCATCTCCGTGTGTTAGGACTGATGGATGTCACACTCACTATTCCCACCATCCCAGAGGAGACTGAAGATCGCCGTGTGAGAACATCTGCCTCCTTGGCTGGTACTCTCGCCTACGGTATGGCCGATTCTCTTGGTAAGACCGAGCATCTATCTATTATTGATATGATTGTTCCGCGGTTGAAGCAAGATAATGTGGAAACACTTGTGGGAATGTTTGACGGACAGACACTTTCCAGCGGTGGTTCTCGCGTCGCAAAATACTTGCACGAGAATTTCACTTCTACTTTCTCGTTTGAGCTTAAGAAGCTGCAGCGAGAGCAGGGTGAAACAGCATTAGATGCACTCCGACGGTCGTTCTTGGCATTGAATAAGAATATGGCAGGCTCTGCCTACAGGTCTATTGATGATCGTGAGATCCGGCAGTACCATCGAGGATCGACTGCGGCCAAAATGCTCAATCAGGATGACATTCAGTCCGGGGGTGTTGCTACCGTCTTGTATCTGAACAACATGGACTTGTACGCCGCCAATGTCGGTGATGCTCAGGCTATTTTGATCCGGTCAGATGGTTCAATGCTTTCTTTGACGCAAAACCATGATCCCGCAGAACCTAACGAGCGTGCACGCATTCGTGCAGCAGGAGGTTTCGTGTC